GCCTCTAACTTACTAGCGATGGCCTCTAACTTACTAGCGATGGCCTCCAACCTACTAGCGATGGCCTCCAACCTACTAGCGATGGCCTCTAACCTACTAGCGATGGCCTCTAACCTACTAGCGATGGCCTCTAACTTACTTGCGATGGCCTCCACTTTTCCGCTTTTCCGAGAGGTCTCGACGCCGCAGCTTTCGCGGGGGACGTCTTGTCCAGGGAAAATCACTACAGAGCGATCGAACCGAGGTCTGCGCCACACTGGAGGGACGCTTTGAACTGGTGAATGAAGCTTTCCACCTGCTTGAAACGGCCTTCATCCATTCGACAAGTCACGCAGTGAGCCCAAAACAACGTGGTGCGCGAAGTGGGCCTAATGTAGTTCGTGGACAAAGGGCATCCTTCAAGCTTGTGAATACGAATGAGAAAAAGTCTGAGCCACTTAATCCGGTCCTGCAAATCAAACTCTTTCGCAACGTCACGAGTCAGCCACTGCCAAGAGCTGAAATTGCGGGAGGGTCGAACGCCCCCTTCCCCGGTGCTTAGGACGAAGTCAATCAGAAGGTAGAGCCATGGGATGTGGACCACTGGCGCAGTCTGTGATTGAAGTGAGCGTGACCACCCTGAGATGCTATCCCAGCCTGGGCCTACTAGCTTATGTGTAACTGTCTGAGGCCTAGGGGGAAGAATGGGCTAAGTCGACTCTTGCACAGGGAGCGGGTATGCTGTCTGTGGGGGGTCATCGGCGGGCGCCGGTACATCCCTGGTGACAGCATCCTCGCTAACTCGCAGCATGGTGGCATGGATTTGGTCTCGGAGGACCCGGGCTGCGTCGAGGTCCTCAACTGCTTTCAGCCATGTGGATCGCACTGTCCCGGTGTCAATGATACTCCACTGAGCTCCATGGTCGGCATTATCGTTGCCTGTGTAGGCCCAAAGATCAATCCAAGTGGCATTCAATCGATTTTGGTGGCTAGTGATCTTGATTATCTGTATCGTGGAAGCCGGGACTGTCCGGGCAACTGAGAGCAGCTCAGACCACAAATCCTGATCTTTGCTGTATATTTTGCTGCTGTCTGGGTTCTTGAGGGCGTTGTGGAGGAAGGCAACTACTTGTGCATTGTCGCACCAAATGCGCATGGGGCGATCTTGGGTGAGTGTGTATCTCACGGCGCTAATGGCCGCGGAAATTTCTGCCCTTCCACTAGTCTGACGTCTGCCAGAAACAAGCCCTTGTGCTATGGGCCACCATCGATATACATCAGACGGGTCTGCTGCGATGACACTCCAGCCTGCTATTCGAGTGAACTGGCAGGTTGGGTTGACGCAGGAACCATCGATGAAGAGGTCAATTGCCCTATACGGAGGTGCTTCAAACTGGCTAGTAAGGGCAGGCTGTGTGCACAGAAGGCGCTGCAAATCCCGAACTGACTGGGGTAATCCTATCCATCCATGGTATGTGAGGCACTTAGGGAGTCCGCCTTCCAAGATCTTCTGCGTGAGCCATGGGAAAGGACGCGAACGATCGAAGTGGCTGCATTCCCAAAACCGGTGGAACTGGGAGTCCGGGTGCCCACAGTATTTGCAGGTGATGGTGTGGGCCTTTTTGTTATGTGTTTGGGTATCAGCCGTAAAGAAAGTCCCGTTGAAGATCTTTCGGAGGAGTCCCAACTGGCTAGGGCCTAACTTGGGAACGTGCTCCAGGGTGAGTGCCGCATTGACCCACTCCATGCCTTGGAATGTTTTACGCTTGCTTACGCAGCCTTGGACGAAACTTTGCCACCCTTCCAGAAGTCGGTGGTGTACTTCAGCGTGGCTGCCATGCAAAAGGTCAACCGGGAAAGCCTCATGGTCTAGGACCCAACCGTCGGACAGCCATCGCCAGCCAATGGCATTTAGTCTTTCTAAAAGGACGTGGCTCGGGCCAGGGCGGGCCGGGAGTTCTGTCCAATCTCGAAGGACTTGTTCAATCAGGCCACTAACCTGGTCTGAGTTGGCATGTCTACGAAACACTTGGACTGTTTGTACCAAAAGGTGGCAACCGGGGTCCGTCAACGGATGCTCTACCAGAGAAAGGTGGATCATAGGATTCATCCCCGGTGCATGGACTCTTAACCCTTTGCATGCGCCAGTGCGTAGGCTACGAATGTGCACATCCCCTAGGCTTGCGGAGGTGCCCATGGACAGTGCTTGTGGCCATCCTTTGGCCCGGAGTGCATGAACTTTCTGCCTATACGGTGCAAGGGACCTGGCAAGTGCATCCCAAATGCGTGGCATGGCTTGGAGGCGTCCCCGCAGCACATGATTGGTGTTACGGCGTCCGTACTCCATATGGGCTCCGAGATCCCGTGCAGAGGATTGCAACGGCTGTTCAGCGAGCCGGGCTTGCTTCCGTTCGGCTGCGTCATTGGACCAGAAATATGTCTTGCCACTATCAAGCTGGAGGTCCATGAGTTCACAGAATTGTGTCATGTAGCCTAGGCCAATCCGAGCATCTGCCATATTCCCGGCTGTTAATTCAAGATTATCGACATACGACCACAATCGGACCGGTGGGTATCGAATCTGGATCCAGCGGGACAAGGCTATGTTACAAAGCAGCATGGCACTGCAGCTCAGTCCGCAGCCTTCCGCAAAGCCAGTGGAAGACTGTAGCGGAGGGCCTATGGTACCTCGGATGCTGAACGAACGGGCCATCTGCTTAAGAGCGTTGGCCCAGGCTCGGACGATGGGTTTGGGCAATCCTAAGTGAACTCCTATGGCCAGCAAAGGCAACCTTGGGAGGAGGTTGTAGGCTTTGACAAGATCAGCCACGACTCCAGTGACCGGCACTTGGGCTGCTGTCGAATCCTCGAGGAGCAACTGTATGCTGAGCCAAAGGTCGGTGCACGATTTGCCTGGGATATTGCCTGTTACCTGTTCTGAAACGAACTGGCCGAGGTAAGCTAGGGTTTCCCGAGCTCGGATCGAAGACCAAGTACGGTAAACTAACGAGAAAACTGTTAGAGGCCTATATTGGCTGGCCTTCCAAGCTCCGGGAAGCTTTTCCAAGGCATGTATGTGACCGGTGACAATCTGTTGTGGCCAAAGGGATCGACCTTGTTCGATGTCTTCAAGGAGGCGGAGGATGGGCTCAACATGGTTCCATGGGAGCGCCACCAAATCTTCCTTGGCAACCCCATCGGGCCCAATGGCCGCTCTGGTCTTTTTCTTGCTAACTGCCTGCTGCCAAGTGGCATGCGAAATGGGATGATATTGCATTGTCGGCGGATTAGGGATGGCAATCCGCACAAAGTCAATTATGGGCTCCCATTTACTGTCATCTGTCTTGGCGTGACGGTCCCAGCGAGCCATCCATTCAGACTGGAATGCTTCATAGATTTGCGCAAGGTCCGTTAACGGCTGTGTCTGGGTCACCGAATCTCCAGCTTGCACCGGGGGCATGTGTTCGAGCCACAGTTTATCAGTGTCATTGTGGACTAGCGGGAGTGGTTTACCATTATATTCAATGGGTTGCTCCGGATGAAAAGCATTAGCTGAATCAAGTATGAGAGCACACTCCTCGTGGTCGACAGCCTCGAC